TCACACACCATTAATTATATATTTTACAGGCATTCAACAACACAGGATAACCTATGGCCAAAACTACCATAACTTCATGCTATCATACCAGACAAGAATATACTCAGAGGTTTTCAGGAATCCATTCCCCAACGTTCCTCTCAGAGATTACCAATAGCCATCCAACTTTTCATCATTATCGGACCTATTAGATCTACAACCATTCAATTATACTACCAAGTCGGCCATTACCAGCTATGCACATTGCCTTTTATGCCTTTCTCAGGCCAGAGAATCCACTACCATCACCACCACTCAGACAGATCATTGTCTTCAACGATCCCACGTACGTAAACACATATATCATTACCTGGCTCTACCACATTCCGAAACGAGTCAACACGCACCAACAGTAGAGATAACATACTATCCTACCCACAACAAATGGTGTCCACTTTCGGTCCTAGATTCCTACCTTCAAATCCTTTCAGGAATGAAATACTGTAATGCTTTTAAGGAAATGTCTGGTTAATTTGTATATATTTGTTGACTGTATTAAATCTTTGATTATTCATTTTTGCCCTCTTTATTTACAGGCCTACCGTATCGTCGGTCTCGGCACACCACAACCGATTTGCTCCCTTTATACTATCCTACGCTTATGCTGGATCCTTACTCCATATACGGCTATTTGCCCCTTACACAAGTATTAAGGCCGTTTGGCCTGTATTTGTGGGAGGGGCTTAAATTAATTCACTCCCCTATATAAGGGACACCCCTTACCTGACTCATATCGCTTGAGGTCAGCATCAGAATGACCCTCCCACCCACTCCTCATTTCAACACTTTCTCTTTTCTTTCCATTTACTTTACTTTCTTACTCCTTGGTGGGCCCTCTTTATTTACAGGCCTACCGTATCGTCGGTATCGGCACACCACAACCGACTTGCTCCCTTTACACTATCCTAAGCTTATGCTGGATCCTTACTCCATATACGGCTATTTTGCCCCTTACACAAATATATATATATATATATATATATATATATATATATATATGTATATATATATATACAGTTGCAAGAAAAAGTATGTGAACCCTTTGGAATGATATGGATTTCTGCACAAATTGGTCATAAAATGTGATCTGATCATCATCTAAGTCACAACAATAGACAATCACAGTCTGCTTAAACTAATAACACACCAAGAATGAAATGTTGCCATGTTTTTATTGAACACACCATGTAAACATTCACAGTGCAGGTTGAAAAAGTATGTGAACCCCTAGACTATAGCTAATTGGAGTGAGATGTCAGCCAACTGGAGTCCAATCAATGAGATGATATTGGAGGTGTTGGTTACAGCTGCCCTGCCTTATAAAAAACACACACTAGTTCTGGGTTTGCTTTTCACAAGAAGCATTGCATGATGTGAATGATGCCTCGCACAAAAGAGCTCTCAGAAGACCTACGATTAAGAATTGTTGACTTGCATAAAGCTGGAAAGGGTTATAAAAGTATCTCCAAAAGCCTTGCTGTTCATCAGTCCACGGTAAGACAAATTGTCTATAATTGGAGAAAGTTCAGCACTGCTGCTACTCTCCCTAGGAGTGGCCGTCATGTAAAGATGACTGCAAGAGCACAGCGCAGACTGCTCAATGAGGTGAAGAAGAATCCTAGAGTGTCAGCTAAAGACTTACAAAAGTCACTGGCAAATGCTAACATCCCTATTAGCGAATCTACAATACGTAAAACACTAAACAAGAATGGATTTCGTGGGAGGATACCACAGAGGAAGCCACTGCTGTCCAAACAAAACATTGCTGCACGTTTACAGTTTGCCCAAGAGCACCTGGATGTTCCACAGCAGTACTGGCAAAATATTCTGTGGACAGATGAAACCAAAGTTGAGTTGTTTGGAAGAAACACACAACACTATGTGTGGCGATAAAAGACACAGCACACCAACATCAAAACCTCATCCCAATTGTGAAGTATGGTGGTGGGGGCATCATGGTTTGGGGCTGCTTTGCTGTGTCAGGACCTGGACGGATTGCTATCATCAAAGGAAAAAGGAATTCCCAAGTTTATCAAGACATTTTGCAGGAGAACTTAAGGCCATCTGTCTACCAGCTGAAGCTCAACAGAAGAAGGGTGTTGCAACAGGACAATGACCCAAAGCATAGAAGTAAATCAACAACAGAATGGCTTAAACAGAAGAAAATACGCCTTCTGAAGTGGCCCAGTCAGAGTCCTGACCTCAACCCGATTGAGATGCTGTGGCATGACCTCAAGAAAGCGATTCACACCAGACATCCCAAGAATATTGCTGTACTGAAACAGTTCTGTAAAGAGGAATGGTCAAGAATTACTCCTGACCGTTGTGCACGTTTGACCTGCAACTACAGGAAACGTTTGGTTGAAGTTATTGCTGCCAAAGGAGGTTCAACCAGTTATTAAATCCAAGGGTTCACATACTTTTTCCACTTGCACTACATGGTGTGTTCAATAAAAATATGGCAACATTTCATTCTTTGTGTGTTATTAGTTTAAGCAGACTGTGATTGTCTATTGTTGTGAGTTAGATGATGATCAGATCACATTTTATGACCAATTTGTGCAGAAATCCATATCATTCCAAAGGGTTCACATACTTTTCCTTGCAACTGTATATATATATATATACTGGATATCGGAGAGATTGATCACGGACACTATTTCCAGAACCCATACTCTACATATCCCAAAGACACCATTGGTGTGAACATCCTCCCTGTATTTCTGGACTGTTCTTTTTATATTTACTTATTACCAATTTATATCCTATTATCTCTTGTGGCGCAGCCCATACCGAATTTTATAAAAAACTGAAATGAAGAAACTTAATGGATGATTTACAATATAGAAGAAAGAGAAAGAAGGGAGAAGACGGGAAGAGAGAAAGCTGAGGAAAGTGAAGAAAAAATGGAAGGCACGCCAAAGAAAAAAGGGGGAGAAGAATGATCACAAAGTCACGTTGTTATGAGGAAAATCTACTTAAATCACTAAATTTAAATCTCTAGAACTTTGGAAATACACATTGTAAATTATAAACGGATTTATACTCTTTGTATGGAAATATTTAACTTGTTTTATAACTCACTTATAATACCACAAATGATCAAATTGAATGATTAGAAATGGGATTATTTAAAGTCACACACACGCCGATATTCACTTGATTGATAGAAATTAAGAAAAAAGGGGGAAGGGGAAACGAAATAAGAGAAACAAAAAGTGGGGAAAGGAAAGGTATTAATATCCTAAATAATATTATAAGGAAGACAACACTGGTAATTAAGACTAAAGAGGTCACTATTAAAGAGTTTAAAGAAACAACATATGAATCACTAATTAGATACAATATATTTGGCTTAATGTAGGGTATATTGAACCCCCCTTCTTTTTCTTTTTTTGAACCCCCCCCTTCTTTTTTTCACTGGTATTAATGATGAGTGAAATGAATTATCTCTACGAGTATCACTATATTGCTATTTAGTTTTACCAAAGAAGAAAGAAAGATAAAAAATCTCAAGTTCAGTCATACTCTGAAAAATTAATAAATAAACAATCTAGAATACTAACTAATATATGCAATGCATAAGGTTTATATGATGTTTGGCGGATTTTGAATCCTGATATTTGTGATTTCACCCATCTATCTAAAGTTCATAACTCCTATTCAATAATTGACTTATGCTTAGTTAAAGCCAATACATTAAACATCATTAATAATATTCAAATTAAAGACAATACTTGGTCTGACCATAGCTTTGTGATAACAGACTAAGGGAAACCTTTGCCTAAAGGCATAAGAACTTGGAGACTAGATGATTCCACTTTTAAACTTAAGGAAAATCAAGAGAAATTAATCGAGCTATCTAGGTTTCTTTGGTAGGAAAATTAAACTCCCGATATTCAACATTCAACATTATGGGCTACTTATAAAGTAGTAATGAGGGGCTATCTTATTAAAATAAAAAAACAAACAAAAAGAACAAGAGACAAAGATCTTGTCAACCTAAATATCGAATATTTTAATACGTCCAAATAAATAAAAATCAACCATCTAGACAACTTATGCAAAAACTATCAAATTTACAAAATAAAATTAATATAAAAACAGAGGAAAAGATAAAAAGAACTATTCATTAATTAAGATACAACACTTATTACCAGGGGAATAGGGCCATTAAAAAATTACCTAAAAAATTTAAGAAACATAATGCGAAAAATAGGGTAAAAAAACAGTTTGATGGTCCGACGAGCTGGATGGTCGCAAGCAACTTCAGCTCCTGCAATTTCCCACTCTATAAGTCCCTAAAGCATGATTTATTCTGATATGGCAGACCGACAGCACAGATCCTCCGTGTGCTGGAACCACTGGACCCGGGGAGATGCTGACTCCCCGAGTTGCAGTCCCCTGGGGGAGAGATTGTCGCTCCAGATGGGGCCTTCTTCTTCGGCGGTGAGCGGGGCAGACGGCCGCTGCCCTGCTATCCTGCCTGACAGTGCCTGGCCGGAGGCCCGGACCGGCGAGAACCTGGCCCTGTTCCCCCCCTCTGGACCGGCGGGGGTGATCCCGGTCCCCACTCTGTGACCCTGAGAGTGGCAAGGGCACCCCACCTAAGATGGCGGACGCCACGTGTGTCGAAACCAGCAAGAGAAACTGCAGTCCCCAGACACCCACAATACACAACAAAGTAACCGGGCGCGACCAAACCAAAGTCCCACAACAACCACCGGTAAACACCCGTCAAGGCACCCCAGCACAACTCTTACCTCAAGGGACATAGCACTGGACTCTGGCTCTGACACAGGAGCAGGCCTGTAACAGGCTGGAAAAGCGGGGTCGCGGCAAACCAGCAACCGCATCACAGAAGAACCCATGGCAGAACAGGGCACGGAGGCATGTGTCTCTTACATATCGGGGAACAGATCTCCCACACAAAGTGCTGCTACACACCGCACCCCGACCAGCAACAAAGGCGTCACACCGCATACTGACAGCCGACCAGCAATGGGGCCCCTCTCGACACATGGAAGGCTCCAGCACAGCGGAGAAGCGAGAGTCCATCCTGCACCACCACTCTGTCGCCTCCTTTCCAGCTGTCTCCCCTACAGCGACAGACTCTACAACTCAGCCTTGGAATGGAGTGGGCTGACGGCGGGCACGGAGCGCACAGACGTGAGATGCTGCAGGCAACTACCAAACCCTGCCTGCACTGATACATTAATGGAGGCACCCAACAGGACTTGGACACTGCCGATGCCTGGCTTGCCAGAGTAACCTACTATATAGCTGGTATTAGCTAGACATGTTTCCCTAGCCCGCAAGAGCAGCCTAATACACTAATGGTTTGCCTTTTTCTTTTATTTATTATTATTTAGCAAGATGCGTTAACTTGGATCGCCAGAATAGCCTACTATATAAATGTTTTCTCTACTCTTAGCATGATCTGTTTATCTGGTATGCCAGAGTAGCCCAATATGTACCTATTCTTAGCATAATATGTTAGCCTGTCAGAGAACAAAGACTAGACTGCACATATGCCTATTCAAAAATTGTAAACCACACTTCACCCTTCCTTACAAACACTAGGCGAAAGCCGTGAACTTTATGTTAACCCTTTAAACATGAGTACAAAACTACTCCTTCATAACGCACTCAAGCATTTCATAAGGTGACAAGCTACACACTATGGGCTCACTCTCAACACCGCTCCGCCCCCTACGGTGCAAGGTTGGGAAAGCATATCAGAAACAGCAACTACTGTCACCTCAACACAATATATACATACAAAAGCTTAATGATTTCGCCTGTATTTGTTATATAAAAAATTGTGCACTATCTATCTTTACCCCACTTGTGTATTCTGTAACGAAGCTCGAGGAATGCCACCGGGGTACCTCGAGCCTGTCTGTACCAAATTACAGCACTACAAAAAACTCAAAAAACTGATGGTTAAACTTTATACTCCTCTCCAGAAAAAAATGGTCAGATATTTAATAAATTCTATAGCAATTTGTATAACCTTGGAATATATTTAGACAATATAAAAATCAATAACTATTTATCCAAAACTACTATTCCAAAAATTTCTACCTCTGATCTCAATATACTTAATGTTGAGTTTACACCTAAAGAAGTGGAAAGAGAGATTGACAGGTTGTAGTAACTATTTCTATAAAATTATGAAAAAAGAAATAGCGCGCCCTCTAACTGATCTTTACAATGAAATGGCCAATTTAGTTAAAACTCTGAAAGACCTATTACAAGACAACTTTTTACCAGTATTAAAAGTTAGTTATCGAAAGAGTTATCCATCGGGGCCAGTTTGGTTTTATCCTGGGAAGATCCTCGGATAGTTGTACAAGAAGAATTTTGGATATAATAGATAGAGCTGAACAATTGGAGATTCCACTGCTGACCCTGTCACTAGATGCAGAGAAAGCATTTGACAGGGTCAGCTGGAGGTTCCTAGATGCCGAATTGGTTTCCTTTGGATTTGTGGGGTGGATGCACAGAGCTTTTATGGCCCTTTACTCTGAATCGACAGCAAGACCAATCGAGGTAAATATTACAGCTAGCTGGTTTAATCTTCAAAATGGCACGAGACAAGGTTGTCCTCTATCGCCCCTTCTTTATATTTTAAATTTAGAACCGTTAGCGATTAATATTAGAACAAACCAAAATATCAAAGGTTTTCCAACTAATAAAGCAGACACCAATATATCGTTATATGCTGACGATATTCTATTGTTGCTTACATCTCCAGAGTCATCTTTACAATATGTAATACATGAAATAAATAAATATAGTGAAGTATCAAACTACAAGTTAAATGTAGCTAAAGCAATAGTTTTAACTAATAAGATCAAAAATGACTGTATTAAAGACCTTAAAGATCAATACAACTTCATATGGTCAAAGAATGACTAATTATTTGGGAGTTATAATTCCAAACCAGATTCAAAACACCATGGAAATAAATGTCCTTAATCTTTTAAAATATACTAACATAAAGTTAAAAGAATGGCGTCCAATAGAATCCTCTTGGTCAGGCAGGATTAATACAATTAATGCCTACATTATACCAAATTGGTCATATTTGTTTAGAATGTTACCTCTTCATATGCCTGATATTTGGTTAACCATGATTCAATCCAGTTTTCAATTATTTATATGGAAAAGCAAAAAAAAACCTAGAATAAGCGCAACGTTATTGCGAGGAAATACCAACAAGGGGGTCTGAACTATCCCGATATAAGAAACTGTTATTTTTCTAATATTATAGGGCATGTTTATAAGCTACAAGTTGAAACTTATAAAAAAAGAAGCGTGGTATATAATAGAATCTGACGCAGTCCGAAAAGATAGACTTGAAGGATATCTATGGCTTAACAGTGGCAAAAAAGCTACAGATTATTTAAACATTAAGTCCCTAATATTAGCAGAAACTATCCGAGCTTGGGACACACTGAAAAAAAGACGGAAATATTCCCTCAAAGTAGTTAAATCAAGTAATTTGGCTGTTTTGGAAGATAATATGCAGGATATCTCTCTAAATAACTGGTCTAAACACCTATGGAGTATCAATGATATGTTACAAACAGATTAATTATTACCCTTTGCCTAAATTAAGGCTAAATTACATATACCAAATAAAGATTTTTTTTCATATCTGAGAATTAAAATTTTTTTTTAAATAAAGCTAATAAAAGAGGTAGTGAACACAGAGCTACAGTATTTTCTGAGGCTCCTGTTCACAGCCATCCTGTCGCCTCGATAGGCATTTGGCTTCCTCACTAGTCTGTTACAACATTCATTTTGTAATTTATTCATTTGATATATTTTATTTTTTATCATTGTATCATCTTATTTTAATTCACTTAATTTTACTGGATTTCCTTGACATTTACTCTATCATTTATTTATTTATTTACTTTTGTTATGGGCATATGCAAATATTACAAGTTTTAGAATGAAAAGTTGGAATTCTTAAACTGTGTACTTTGTTTTTTTTTCAAACTGACAAGTTGTTAGAAATGGAACATATTGTTTTTCATAATGTCTCTTTAATAAAAGACCTCTTAACCATATTCAGTGAATATGGTGTTCAGACTTTAGGATGCCATCTTGTCCTAGGTTAGTGTAATTCCCCAAGTCGGGGAATTTCCCATGTCATGTGCACCCTTATGTTTTAGTCTGATCATAGATAAGATGTTCCCATGTGAAATGACCAAGTTATGGCCTTATATCTTTGCCAAGTTAAGGTAGGTTCTAAAATGACCTCATTGAACATCCATGGTATAAATATGTGTACTTATTAATAGGACACAGAGGAGAGATTTTGGAGACAAAGACGCTGCTCCATTTTATCATGACAGAGAGGTTGACATGTTCAGGAGGGTATGTTATTCTATTTTACTGATATTGCAAGCATTTTCTTTCATCTTATAAACTCTGCTATACATTATTGTAATGGATTTTATATGTCTATATTTATATTTTTATTTAATAAAATATTTAAAAAGACAAAACTTTATTGCTTCCAAGACAATCCCTATTTTATAGAATTTGGGATGGAACAGCGCTACAGTACTGATCACAGAGGTGGATGGAGCTGCACACCTGAGGATAAGGGCAACCCTCAAACCCTTCAATAAATCTGGGAGCAGGATACAACAAAAATACAGGGTGCGCTAGGTATGCCAACTCACGATCGATAGAGCTGTAGGTACACTTGAAAAAGCCTATTTTGGGCGAAACACGTTGTGTTTTTTATGACCTTATTATAATAAAAGTATTTTTAGACTACCTATATCCCTATGGTCAGTCCTTCTACTTTTATTTTTTGCTACTTTTATCCTGGCTCTTTTTTACTATTTTAAAAGATCCAGTACTACAAAGAAATCCTTAGGTGGGATTATTCCACTCACGCCTGGTTCATAGAGCAGTGTGGCTGCTCTATACATTGTAAGTACGTTTCATTTTACCTTTTAGCACCATTGTATCTACTGAGAACACTATGGGCTCTCTTTTGTGCTTTTGTCTTTCATAAATCCTGCACTCCATACATCACCAGAAGGATATCCTACATGTGGGGAGTTTAAATACCACTGTATGCTGTTTTACTTAGAGCTGGTTATAGCTCTTTTCACTGTAAGTTGGCACTCTCAGGACTTCAGTGTTTGTTTGTAGCTGCAGGTGTTATACGCTATTGTACCATTGGTCCGTTTCTCTTTTATGTTTTTTATATGCTGACACATATTTGAGTCGTTGTACAAAGTATTGAAGAATTACCTATTGTCCAGCTATATCCTACATGTGGGGAGTTCCAAATACCACTGTATGCTGTTTTACCTAGAGCTGGGCATAGCTCTATTGATCGTAAGTTGGCATTTCTATTTTCTGTGTTGTCCGTGACACCACCCCCATACAGTTTTGCACTATTGGTCTTTCTTTGTTTAATTTTGTTTTTCATATCAACCACTGAGGACCTTATCAAGAATCTAAGAAGACCTACCCAAGACCTACCTTGTATTTTCAGAGACTTTTTCTTTGTAAATATTATTTCCTATTTGTACTATTTATCTCTTATTTATTCTACCTAGCGCACCCTGTATTTTTGTTGTTTCCTAATCCCTATTTTATATTGTATTCTCAATTATTTATATATTTTAAATAGAGGAATTCTTACTAACTATATAATATTATGGCTAAGATATAGTTAGCCCTGCTAAGTTCTATGTTTAAGACGTTACAATGGTAAATATGAGAACCCGGATGCAGTTAGACTTTCATAATTTCATACTGAATATTAGCTCCTAGATACTTCACTATATTTGCTTAGTATATTTCCAAGTTGGCAATGTACTAAATAATTAATTTCGCAATGGGGTCACATAGTCTAGCCAGGGTCCACATTGGCAAGCAGAATTTCAGGGCCCAGTATCAATAGCCACTGTGGCCACAGTGGTAGTTTTAACACTCCTCAGTCACATCCACACCATTTCCACTCATGCTATGTGCCACTTAATGCTCCAGTAACAGACTGGGCAGAGTTGCATATAAGCTGCCTGCTCACCCTCACTACAGTGAGTCACAGTGCAGTGTGGATATGAGTGTGTACTCTGCTCCCAGCTGTCACAT